AAAACGTGAAAACACAACTTGACAGGTTGACCCCCTAAAGAGCCTACACGTTCATAATGGGCTGATGTTCGTCCAAAAAATATCCATAGCAGCTGGGTCGCAGCAAACTAACTGTGGACGACCAGGTGGCCATTCCCCATCATGGGTGCCCCAAATTTGACCCATGGTGGCCCCTGGGTGCTCCATTCCGCCCCACACCTGGCATGGCGTTGCCCCAGTCGTTTTCGTTCCATTCAGGAGGCGGATCAAAATACACGGGACCCTCTGGAACAGGTCGTTCCCAGTTGCTGACCTTGGAAGTTGTTCACCGGGCTAGGGCCTTTCATCTTCACCGTGAGGGAACAAATGGTTGAAAGATGTTGAAAGCAGCTCTGGGATTCGAGGGATTCAGGGCTGCCATAGAAGTTCATAGAAGCAAGTTGTTGATACAGTATACTTGTTGGTAGAATTTTCAGGGTCGGCGGGCTCCTTTGCCGCGGGCTCAAACACTATCCATATAGAATTGCTGCGACCAACCCATAGCACCAACAGTTCCACCGATAGCAGTCACGGTTTCACGGTTTCACATACAGAATGCCCGAATATGTACTGCCCGAATACGTATCCCCTTTTTGGCCGTCGCGCACCGATTGTAGAAGGGACGTAGCCAGAAATACTCAGATTGAACAATACAGACATACCCCAGAAAGCGTTTTGAACATGACTTCCCTCAGGCTTCCTGGCAAGTTTTGGTAAATTTTCAGTTTCTTCGCACCGATGTGTAGCTCTTTCATCATTTTACATGCCAAGGCACTCGCCCATCCTCTGCTTCCCAGGTCAAGAACTCCTGGTTGCTCTCCTAAGTGGCTGCATCAAAAATCGATGTGGTGATAGGTGATGCTCTAATTACTTTAAACAAAACAGGGAAATGATGAAATGAACATGTGCGCTGCAAACCCTAGGTTTGCCCGCGGCGAATCCCGCATATCCTTTGACATGCTCAAATCCCTGCGTACGTTTTTTTTTTTAACTTTCCAAAACGACACACCCTAAAACTCTAAAACCCTTGAAACCGTCAGTTCAATTCCACGTTTTTAATCGTTCTTGGTTGTGTCAGATAAGGGCACCAGGAACATGCACAGGTGGGCACCCTGCTGCTGAGCCTTTTAAACAGAAACTCTATTGGTACGACACAGGAAACCAATGACTGCTCAAATAGCCAACGCTCCGACACCAACGATGCGCTATTCAAAAGCAGCAGGTCGACTTGCAAGCTTCACTCCAGTGTGAGTTTCTCAAACTTAAGGAATTGCCACAAGTGCAGCCTGCATTCTAAGAGAAAACTCATTGGATCATCAATCATCAACTCAGCGATTGGTGTACTCCACCCCCGTGTTCTGTCAGCCCATGGCCAAGGCGCCTCCTGTACCAAAGTGCCATTTCCGCAACGCCACTGTTGCCAACGGTCCAGGGTGATGGTAAATCTCTTATCCTTGGCAGGGCCGTCTCAGCGCTGAAGGAATTCCCCAAAACCTTCCGCCTGGGGCAGCGACTGGAACGCCATCCTTCTGCAAGTTGGCCCTAAACGACATCCGGGGCTGGTTGCCTGGGCGACGCTTCACCCAGCTGGTTTCCTGGCTCTCCTTGGGCATTGGGGCCAAGTTATGTTTTTTTTAGGTACACCTGTAGACTGTAGACAAACTGATAAATAATTTGCCTGGTAAAAAAAATGGGTGCATCTTTTCCAAGTGTTTCCTAGTTCAAGTTTGAATGCTAAATCTTTACCTATCATGGCCACCCGTGCAATATTGTATGCAGTTGCTGCGTCTGTAAATTCATACCCAGCCTATCTAGTATCATCTTGCATCCTATCTACTGTGGTGGTAAACTCAAATGTTTAAAACCATGGGGGGCAGGTCTTTGTTTGCAGGTCAGTCATTCGATGTCATTGAGGCTCCAACGGCCGGGCCGCTGGTTGCGGAAGCGCTGGGAGGCGTGGGACACCACGATCTTGTGGCCCAAGTTATCCAACCATTCACCCAGGAAATACCTCGGCTGAAGAGGCTGGAAGGGATGAACTTGGACAAAAAGGCAAATTCGGCTATGGTTCTAAAAAACGATGATAACAATCAAACCATAAAATTGCTCGGTACTTAACCTAACCATCCCTTTTTGGGATCAAACAGTTTCATATTTTGAGCCATAGCCGGCGATACCCACTTGGCTGATCTGAAGGTGGGTGTTTATGTTATAAGTTGTAAGATGTTATAAGTTATAAGTGTGTTGCACCCACTCGCCCTGTTTTACTTGTTTGCTACTGGCAATGAGGCATCGGGTGCCAAACAACAACTCCTTTCACTTCATGGTTGTAGGTGGCTATTGTACCTACCTGCTCCGGAATTTCCGGAAGAGCGGATAGCAAAAACATATGCAAAAATATGCAAACATGCATGAAGATATCATACTGGAATTGTCCATGAACTGGGGATCCATGATTAGGAATTTGGCAACACCAGTTACACCCCCTTCTCACTGTCATATGGCAGGAAATGAGCCGAACACTATACTACCATGGGTACGAATTTGACCATCCCAAAGATTGTTTGTGGTAACTCAAAAATCTATGAGGAGTCTGAGGAGACTACAGACTTTTCATAGCCCAACTGGGAAACCATTGAGTTTACATCATCTTATAAAAGCCCCTCCCTGTCAAGCGCCACGCGCCACTTGTTTAGTTCAGCCTTGATGTTCGTAAATTGTCCATGATTCCTGCTTCCAAGCCTTAAAATGCCCGCGCAAATCCCTATGATTATCAACTTGCAAGCTGTAGCAGGACGATCCTCCAATAACTGCATATACCCTCTGGTAATCTAACAGTTTGCTTTGGAGAACCTCCCTGTTTTCTCATGTTCAAGAGGTAAATCATCTACTTCAACGGGCCATGGCTTCCATTTTTTGGTGTTAAAAACCTGAGGTGAACTCCCAATGCGATCACATGTCCAAAAGTGATCATGTTCCATCTCGACGACTTCAAAAAACGGGGGACACCATGGTAGGCCTCGAAACTCCAAACAACGTCCCAAGCTGCTCTGGGTCAAACTGTTCATCCATATCACCTCATGAGAGTCCGAAAAAATCCGGGTAAAACTGTAGGAATCCAAATTGAATGGCCTCTTTGGAAAACTGATTTCGCTTCTGGAAATTTGGTCGTTTTTATGTTTTTATTGATTGTCGATTTTGGCTGAATTTGCGATTATTTTTTGTGGACCCAGAGGAGTGGCAATCAGTGTTCTGCCATCTCTTCTGCAGATTGCTCCAAAAAAAACCTATTTTCGAACTATTTGGAGCTACAGTATGTGAGCGCTAAGTTTCAAGGCCATCATTCAAGGACCCCCCCCGATTTTCTTGTTCTGTTCATGGCCTGCATACCTGAATGAGGATGGATCCTCTAGACCTGTTCAAAAGCGATACCTGGCCCCACAAGGCGGTACCCATCCTTCGCAAAATGGTTTAGAAAGTGTCTATGACTAATATATATATATATATATATATATAGGGTTCATGGTATATCATGATAAATAAACACAGTTAACTCATTTAACAAATAATTTCTAGAATATATGTGTATATGTATATATATATGATTATACATGTATACAAAGTTTATTAATGATGTTTATAAACCAATTGAATCCAATTGATATGACTTGTGGGGCATCGCATTTCAAAACTGAGCGTTGCTGATTTCCCTTTCCCCTGGGTCAAAAGGAATCCCAAGCCACAGCCAATGCCGGGGCCTTTGGAAACTGGAGCAGCTGCCGGGGATTCTTCACTCTCCATCTGGCGCAATGCACCAACTTGCTGGATTAGCGCAGCACAGAGTGACAGTAGATCCATAAGGCTTTAAGAACTCTCTGGAAGCAGGGGGACTCGCCACTTCCGAATGCTTCGACGGTGCAAATCATCAACGATGTTTATATAATCGAAATATGACATATGTTTTAAACAAAAACTGTGTTAATTGGTGATTGCAGGCGGTTCTATAGACTGTTGATTTCTATTGTTTGTTTGGCGATTGGTATGCCAACCATTGTGGGCGAATTGTCCAGGCTTGCTGGAAATTCCCACATTTTAGTTCCAACTGATCCATGTTTTAACCTTACATATTTCGATGCCATGCCGCGTCCCAAATCGCCACGGAGCAGACATGATTTAAACCTTTAAGCATTCTCAGCACTAGAAGGGCTTGGATGCTGATGGAGAATGCTTAAATGTTCCGATTCCAAACATCAAGAAGGACAACCCGTGGCTTGGACTTGGACAACATCAGCAGGGCATGTGCAACCGTTTCATGAACCATTTTTGGGGATGACTGTAAACGTTTTTAAACAGTTTGAAGTTAAAACGGTTCAATGCTTAAACGCATTTAGCCGGACCCCGGCTGGAAGTACCAATGATAAGTATCCATCGCCAAACAGGTCTCCACGCCCAGACAGGTTTTGCATCAATCCAGGTGGGTCAAGTAGAGAAGTTGCCGCTTCGCTGATGATGATCATGGTAGTGGCCGCCAATGAAAGGCTGCTAGAATAACCCAGTCAACTTGTAACATGCATCAAACGATCAACGTATGCATTATTACTATTATTATTATTATTATCATTATTATTATCATGACTATTATCATTATTATCATTACTATTATTATTATATATATATATTTGTGTGTGCACCCTTCAAAAAAAAACAATAAATAAATAAATAAATACACTGTATATACTGTAAATAACAGTTGTATTATATATATATACATATTGACATATATATATATATATGCACCCTCAACTACTGGAGGGGAAGGGTAGATACTCCAATTTATATACACCTCAAAAACCTAGGTCAAGAATCATCTTCCTTTGGATTTTCCGAACCAATTTGCTGATCACCCTGGACCCCCCCTTGGGTACAGAATTTAGGGCTCTAACGTGATCTAAAAGTCATGTAGTTTTTGGGACAAGCTCGTGAAAGACCGTAATAGATCCCAACACAAAAACGTTTCCAGAAAGATTTTAGACCCCATTTCTTTTCATCAAACTCCTTATATTTTGTGAACCATGTCAGACCTTTCTTTAGGTCGACCCCAAATAAGGGTTTGAGATCGGTTCCACCTATTGATGTTTTTCTTTTTTTACGAGTATGATCTCAGACCCCTTCTTGGGAGGGGCATGGAGGGGCTATAGTAAATTGGTGATACTTGGATATATTTGTGGTCTGGAATCATGTCTAATATCATCGGCAATGATCCAGATCCCACCTCCCGGAGTACCCTTTCTATATGATTTCAGACCCTTTATATTATAGGAATCTTTAAATATATATATATATACATATATAATTACATGATATGGAATGCTCCCCACGGTTGATATCCGGCCTGTTCTGCCCAGCTTTGGCGATTGCCCTTGCGCCAATGGTCCAAGCTCCAGGGACCTGCCAGGCTTCACCGAAGTCTCACTGAACGATCAATGGCGTAATTTAAGGCTGTTTTTGAGGGTTAACTATAGTTTCTATAGTTAACTATAGTTTAACACTAGTCACTATTATTGAACTAAGTGACTAGTTCAGCAATCAGAAGCCACTAATCATATCTGATCATGTATTGATGTTTACACAGGTACCAGGTATCAGTGGAAAAACTGTGGCTGAAAAGAAAGGGGATCCGTCGGATTATGATCATCCCCAAGGTACCATCTGATTGTGGACATAGCTCGCTACCGCAATGGATCAAAATATGTCTCCTTGGAAAACTGGCCCGACTGGGTTGCAGTCTGGATTTTTTTTACAGCGCTGTCTATTCATTTCTTTTAATGGATGCAGGAAACTCAAAATGTATATTTTGGAAACCTGCAAGTTATGATCACGATTTAAACCATGTTGGTGAAACATCTCTATATCCTATTTTTCGGAAGATTCTGCAATCAAGTCTACAGTAATTAATTATAATAATCCAATCCAATCTATTCATATCTGTTCTATGATTCCATTTGTGGTTCCCTGTTGATATCTTCGTCTCTGATAATCCCGACGTTTTTTCATTTTTCTATGTAATCCCAATCCGCCAATAGCGCATGCAATACAACGAACACTGCCCTCTGACACAAAGGCCGTTATGATAGGGGTAAGGGATAGGTGCTCTACACGGCCAAACAACAGTTCTGGTATATCATCATGTCTGGTGGCCTATGTTTGTTGGTTTAAGCCAACTGTTTGTTTGTGTCAGTCCTACTTTTGTTGGTTTAAGCCGGCTGAAGCATTTGTTCAGCGCAAGGTTTGCTTGATCAATCCAAAGGAAATGCCAGTTTTCAGGCTTTCAGAGACATTTACTTAATTCAAAATAACATACCCTCAACATACACAGAGCCTGAGAATACCCTCAACATACCCTGAGAATACCCTCAACATACCCGGTTCTATTATATTCATATTATATATATATTTATATTCTACTTCTATATCGTAAATATTATTGATATATATATATATATATATATGTGTGTTCTAAATAAATATATGTTTTATATATATATATATAATTAATTTTAAATATTCTGTATATACTGCATATGTTCAACAAAATGACACCCTAAACCATCCCATGCCTGCTGTCTCTGGTGGTGGCTTCATGGCCAGGTCCGGTGATCCCTGGTTGGACTTCCCGTTTTTGCCTCCAAGTGCGGGGGAGGCCCGGGTTGATATCACCTGATGACAATCCTTCATAAACCTTCATGGTTCATAGTTCATATGTTATATAACAAAACAAAACCTGACGCATATATCGGATATATACATATATGCATATATATATATATATATACATCCCTTCCCCCCAAAAAAAACATGTGAAAAACATTGAAAATATCCACATCGTTCCACAAATTTCGGAAGATCCAGTCGTGGCGCCTACTTCCATCAAGTGGAAGGACCCTGCGGACCCCGCACGGCTCCGAACTTGCTGCGGACCCTGTGGCGGCGATGCACTGCTGCCTGCAGGGGAAAAGGGTCAGGACTGAACCCTCAATGTGGTCTAGGAAAACCGGAGAATATCCGTGCATACATGTATACAAACGTCGTGTGTTGTATAAATGATGAATAAAGAAAATATATGACAATGTAAATATACGTGCGTATATTTGTATATATATATAATTATGTATGTGTTTGCTTTCTATGTATATATGTATATATGATGTAACATGTAAATATGCATGCATGTATATTCAATATGTGTATATGCAAAAATAGGTATATTTAAATATGTGCAGTAATATATTTATATGGATATGCATATGTAAACATATATATATATATATGTATGTATATATTTATATTTATATATCTATATAAATATATGTATGTATATATATATATATGTGTGTGTATATGTATATATGCATACATGTGTATATTTATGTGTGTGTGCATGCAAATTATGTATATTTAAATACGTGTAATTATATATAAATATATAATGTATACATATTATGCATGCATATATACACGCATATTGTATATAAAATATATCAACATGTATGTATGAATATATATATATATATAAATATACATACATATATATATATGATTATGTATGTGCATAAAATACATATTTACTGGATGCATATATATATATATATATATATATATATGTATGTATATATAAGTATAACAGCATAACCACATAAATCATATCGACACAATATATTCTGCCAACGTAATTGCCCCGCAATTTTCCGTAGGCTTCCCGCCTGACCCTCTGCTGCGCACACGTGGCTCAGCATACACACCTGGCCATGGCATCATCCCTACAAGGTGCTCCCCCCAAACGACAGCTAAGTGGCTTACATAACTAGGGTTCCCCAAAAGATAGCTAAGTAATTCTGCGTATATAATTTAATGTTCATAACTAGGGTTTATAGATAGGTTTATGGATGTTCATTGAAATGTTCAAATTACTTTCCTTCGTGTGATCCCCACCATCACATTTATACATTTTCTTACTGGCAAATCTTCTGGCATTCTATCTGACATATCTTCTGGCATTCTATCTGGCAAATCTTCTGGTATATGTTCTGGCATATCTTCTGGCATTCTATCTGGCATATCTTCTGGCATATATTCTGACATATCTTCTGGCATTCTATCTGGCATTCTATCTGCCATATCGTCTGGCATATCTCATGGCATTTTATCTGGCATATCTTCTGGCATTCTATCTGACATTCTATCTGGCATATCTTCTGGCATTCTATCTGGCTGTTGAGGTCCAGCGGTGCACACTGAGCTGGGCAGGTCCCCGGTTGAGGTCCAGCGGTGCACACTGAGCTGGGCAGGTCCCCGGTTGAGGTCCAGCGGTGCACACTGAGCTGGGCAGGTCCCCGGTTGAGGTCCAGCGGTGCACACTGAGCTGGGCAGCTCGCAGGTTGAGGTCCAGCGGTGCACACTGAGCTGGGCAGCTCGCAGGTTGACGTCCAGCAGTGCGCACTGAGCTGGGCAGTTGGCGAAGAGCTTGGCGACGAGTTGGCAAGGTTGGCAAGGCGGAAGTGGAGGTGGAAGAGGCGGAGGCGAGGAGGACAGCGAGGAGGACAGCTAGTCGAGGAGGATGAGGAGGCGGGCATGCGCTCTGATAAAATCTAACAAACCCTCACCCAATAGGTCAGGCAAGGTTATTTGGAGCAAAATAGGTAACTCTAAAAAAAAATACCTTTTTGTAAGTAATTTTGGTCGATTTTTTTAACTAATAGGTAAAAAAAAATTACCTTGAAAGGTAATTTTTATTAATTATTGATAACCTATTTCAAGGTAACTTTTAAGGGTTATTTTTTTTCACTTCGTTTTTACATATATATATTATTTTCTTTTGTTATATGGTATGTGTCTGATGTTCTCTTGGGGTTACTATATGTATGGGTTTACTTCATGTATTTTGACAGGGTCTCATGTTTTTCACTTGGCGCTTGGATTGGATCAAATGATTTGATCATGGGTAGTGTTTGTGTCACTGACAAAATTTTGTCAACAAGAGCCTGGCAAGATGATGGAAATGAAGAAGCTTTGCGTGATGCAGAAAGACGAGGTGATGTCTACCAGAAGGATGGTTACTATCACTTCAAGACAGTGGAGACAGCCATTGAAAAGAGGCATGACACCTCCATGGTCTTGCATGGTAGCAGAGCTGACCTCACCAAGGACGAATACAGCCAGATGAATGAGTTCATGGTGAGCAGGCCATGGAGCCAATTTGGCATTGGAGGCAGTCCTTCCTCTACACAGGCAAGGGTTACTCCCTCTTCCTCGTCATTGCCAAAGGCGATATGTGATGCACCTGTGAAACTCTCCTGGTCGAGTGTGGAGCATGACATCAAAGAGGCCAAAGGGGCTCAGGAAAGACTTGGGAGAGATTGTCAAAGGCTGGCTGCCAAAATCTTTGACAGGAAGGACGAGGGCATCAATCAGACTTTGAAGGCTATCCTGAGTGGCCTTTCACAAAGAGAAAGCATGCTTGGGCAATGCATCATCTTCCAAAGTGTGGAAGGCACAAACATGGAGAAGACCAAGGTGGAGAAATTCTTCCAGGATCTTGGGCAAGCGACTGAGGATGCCAATGAGAAGCTGGAATCCACCAAGTCAATAGCCAGAACCAGGGGCTGGCTGAACAGCAAGTAGGTAGCTTTTACTTTATGGTCTGATGGTTACTGCTTTGAATGCATTGGATGAAAAAGCAGACAAGGTAAATGTACCAAACCACTGTTAAGTCGACATGTTTCTTCTGGTTACACTGTGCATTCAAGTTTTGATGGCAAGGCCAGCTAGACACCTGCGTGGCCATAGCAGCACCTGACCATAATTTCCCCTCGTTAAACATGCAGCAAGTTGAAAGGAAACACTATATGAGTACAAAGCTCCAATGGTTCTTTATCATGATATAGCTTTTCAGTTCCAAGTCTCATTTCATCAAAAGCATTGTTGCTGGAGTCTGGTCTTTACTTTCAACATTTCAACTTGCTGTATGTTTCTTTAGCTCCCTTAGATGATGTGACCGCACTCCTAAGGTTGAAGGCTTTTGTGTTGCTTCTAACAGCAAGCTTGCTGCAGCATGTGGCTTTGTGGAAAAAGTGCAACCTGAACCAGCTCAGCTGTTGCATGGGTTTACTCTTAGGACAGCTTGATGTGTTGCATGTGTTTTCTTTGGCAACTTGAAGCAGCTGATGTGTTGCATGGGTTTTTTTCTTTGGCAACTTGAAGCAGCTGGTGTGTTGCATGGGTTTACTTCTTTGGCAACTTGGAGCAGCTGATGTGTTGCATGGGTTTACTTCTCTGGCAACTTGAAGCAGCTTCACAGTTCTATGGGGTTACTTCTTTCACAGTCATTACTTTCTTGTTTGTGTTTTCCCAAATAATTACCAGTAACCCAAACCAAATCATAACAGGGAACTGAAAACCTTGCTCAATAATAATGAAATGGGAACCTTTGATATCTTGGAAAGTATATCAGCTGGAATCAAGTAGGTAGATGTGAGGTGAAATTCCAAATGGAAAGCTTTTGCCAGCTCTTGGTTACTATTTCTATATTGAAAGCAAGTCCTTTGTTGTTGCTTCAAACTATTGGTTCATGAATAAACTATGTGTAGCCATTCACTGCCACATGTTTCAAGAAGTTGGCTCAAGCTTTCAAGCCCTTCCTTGTTCGACTTTATCTCCACTTGAACTTTTGTCTTTGTACCATCCAAAACTGATGGAGCCACATCCTGCCAAAAAACCCAGGGGTCAAAAGCAAAGAAGTGCTTCCGCCTCTACTGCAGCCTCCACCAAGTCTTCTGTTTTGGTTACATGGCTGGAGGAGCAATGGGCTTGGGGCTCCATGAGTGCACAATGCATTCAAAAGATTGCACATCTGGCGCTTCAAGACATGGTTGCTTGTGGTGTTGAAGAAATTCCACCAACTTTACAGAAACTAGCGTCCATTGGCACCTTTGGTCATCACAGTGCAAATTGCCACAGGGACCTGATGAATGTGGTGTCCCGCAAAACCAAGGTTTGTGCACCTCTGCAGGTCAACATTACTTTGAAAGGTGGTTTATATCTGCAATCCATCATGCTACCTCATGAACTCTTCCATTGCATGTGGGAAAGGTACAATGCATATTTCTTGCAAACTTTAACTCCAGCAGGAGAGGCAGGAATGAGGTTCTTTTGGGATAAGTTCCAAAATCACCCTTGCATGGAGCTTGCGACCTGGACTTCACATCCATCTTTTCCGCACAAGTGTATACCCCTTGGCATGCATGGTGATGCAGTGCCTACCACAGGGGTTGGAAAGGTCTGGGCAAAAATGCAGCTCTGTTTCTCCTGGAGCAGTTTGTTGAAAATTACCAGCACCAAAGCAAGCAATTTCTTAATCTGGGGTGTGCCTTGACTCACTTTCCACTTTCACAAGTGAAGGGTTACTTTCAAATACTTTTGCTTTTTCCACCCAAAAGTTTGATCCCAAAAAAGTCAGGGGATGTCTTGTAATTTGCTTTAGGTTTCCAAGCTTTCAGCTGAGGTCTTTGAACCTTTGATGTCTGGGGTTACTCTAGACAAAGTCTTCGAGATTTTGAATTGGAGCTTTGAATGCATGGCATCTGGAACATTCCCTTCTTGTGATTGGAAAGGAAAACCCTTTGCTGTGGATTCTCCAGCTGGCAAGAAGGCAGGTTCAGCTTTGGCAGGGGGTTACATAGCACCACTGGTAGCGCTCCAAGGAGACTTGGAATACTTTTCCACACATCTCCAAATGCCAAGGTGGAATGCTGCTTCTGGTTGTTGCAGCTTATGCCGAGCTGGGGGATCAGGGGTTACTTCTTGCAAAGTGTTTGGGGATACTGCTCCATGGAGGGAAACGATTTGGACAGCCAGCTCCTGGAAAGCTTGGGGTCACAGGTCACAGGCCAAAATTTTTGACCTTCCTTGGCTCAGTGCTTGCAATGTATGTTTGGATTACTTACATTGTAAGTACCTTGGCACTGACCAATATCAGTTTGCCAGCATTTTGTACATCCTGTGCTACCACATCCTGGACAATGAACCAGCCACCAACTTGGCTGTCATTTGGAACAGGATCAAAGCACTTTATGCTGAGGCAAACACACCTTACAGATATAAATATTTGAACAAGCTGTCCATGTTTGTCCGAGCCAAGGGGCCTTGCAAATTACGTGGCAAAGGAGCTGAAATCAAAGGATTTGGAGCAATTCTTCTGCTTGTGTGGAATGAATTCAAAAATCATGCCTTGGAAAACCACAGGATGATCACTGCGATGCTGAAGTTGAATGTGGAGATGGAAAAAATCTTAGCTGAAAACAAATGTTATGACGCTTTCCCACCAATGCCTGCAAAAAGATTTCATGACTGTGCTAATCAAATGGCACACATACAATGCTTGTTATATGATCGCTTTGTTGATGAGCCTGGACCTACTTTGTTTGGGGTTACTTCCAAACTCCATTCAGTGGTCCACATTGCTTCATTGGCAGCTTTCCTGAACCCTCAGAGGGTCTGGTGCTTTGCAGGAGAAGATTACATGAATGTTTGCAAGATTCTTTGCAAACAATGCGTCCGTGGAGTAAAGCCTCACCTTGCACCAGCCAAGATGATGGACCATTTTCAAGTAGGAATGCATTACCAGATGTCGCCATAGATTAAAAAAGAGCTGCAGCCACTGTGTTCAGCCACTGTTCTTGGGGTTACTTCTTGCTTGCTGACTTGTGCCTCAATGTCTGTACAGATGGTAGAATTGCTCTGTGGTTGTCTCTGCATGCTTGGGGTTACTTCATTGTAGCTTTGATGTTGTATAACATATCTTCAAAACATCCAATCAGATTTGATCTTCACAACTAAAAACTTTGATTTGCTCAAACAAGTATAAGTTCAAACAATATAGTTTTTTTTTTAAACTTCCAGTAATCATGTAGAACTGACTTCACACAAAATCAAGAAACACATTGTTAAAAAACCTTTCAAACAATTGATAATATTCACTTTACTATGGTACAATGTTAAGAAAATGTCAAAATTCATTATCTTTTTTCCATGAAAAAAATGCAAAATTTCAAGGTATTTTTTTTTTAATCCTCAAAAATTACCTTGATAGGAACCTTTAAAAATTAACTATGTAGTTAAAAAAAATTAACTATTTCGTTTTCCTTAAAAATTACCTATTAGGTAGAAAATTGCCTCCAAAATCACTTTTACCTATTTTGCTCCAAATAACCTTGCCTGACCTATTGGGCACCTGGCAGGTGGGGAAAAAAAACTAGTTATATGATGAAGGTTTGTAAACCAAGTTCGAAGCAAAGGGGACCATCCTATGGGTGCCAAACGGGGCAGGTGTTAGGGCTTCAAACACCTTCAAGCAAAGGGCATTTGTAGCACTGGGCCGAAAAAGGTTTATCATTTGAGATCATCATCCAAAATATAGCTACAATAAACATACGTTGTTTTTAATTACATGTTTTCAATATGTTCAAACAATAATGATAAGATACCTCTATGATCCTCTATGTTTTTTTCTTTGCTCTACAATGTTTTGGGGGGGTGCTTCATACCGCTCGCCAAATGATCCCCAGCCTGGCGAATCCATGACAACAACGGCCGGAGCACCAGGTCTGTGTGTATCAACTCGATTAGCTCGGAAGCTTTATTTCTGATGGCTAAGAAAGCTAACCAATCTATATATATATATAGTAGCAACATACTAACTTAATATAATGCTAAATGACTAATTGTCATCAATTGTTTATTAAACAGAAAACGGCCCAATGGGACCGATCATCCTACCATATCATGCATGGCACATGCGCCTACACGTCCGACATGTATGCCTATTGCGATGCTGCAGTGAGCACAGAATGGATGCGGGCATGGCTCCAAGGTACACCATGTCATAGTTAGTTATGAAATGGAAGTGTAACACTGTGGAACTCAAGTTCTTGGCCGTGATGCTTCGTGTCGCTGCAGGGACGGCAACGGGCTCGAGCCGGGCCTTGGGAGGTGCGTGATTTGTCCTGCACTGGTTGGAATTTTGATTCTCAGAAAATCCATGAATTGAAATGGTTTACCCAGTTCACTATACTGGAAAATACTGAAAGCATCTCTCAACTTTCTGAAGTTGGATGCGGATGGAAACCTGCCCCCCAACTGCATCCTGTCGTAGAGCCCCGCAAGGCGCCGAAAGGTCCCCAAGTTCATGAAGAAATGAAGGCTACAGAACCACCATCAGACTTGGTTGCTTAATCAATTCAACAAGTCGAGAGAAATTCTGCGAAAATCAATGAAAATCAGCATTCCACAAACTTGACATTTGCCAATTTTCCGGCGGTTCCGCTTACCAACCTATCATTTATGTTGAGGTTGTTGCGAGGTTGGTACGCTTTGCCCACCTTGGATTTGTAGTGCCTCCTGATGCTACCTCGCTTTTTTTTTGGGACTGCGAACTTATGCTCACCACCCTCCCGCACCCTCCGGCCCAGCAGGCACGCGATGTGATCTGCATCGCGATGTTCTCGGAGCCTTGATTGGTCGGACTTGGTGCATCATGGTGCATCCCCGTGCTGTAGCCGACTGCAAACCAACATCTCTACCACATCCGCAGACCTTTAAAAACTCAAGTCAGCAACTGTATTTTCAACTGGCCTCTTTTCAATAAGTGCATAATATAAATTCAAAACAGGCAGACCCCCGATGCCCAGGAATCCCTTGAGCCACCGGCACATCTAATGCTTTCTGCCATTCTTTTGCTCGGCCGTGCTGAGATATGACCTTGGGAACATCCTCCTGCAGTTGAGAGGTCGTGATGTACACTGGGAGTGGGAGAGGAAGAACAACAACAACAACAACAACAACAACAACAACAACAACAACAACAACCACGACAACCACGACGACGACGACGACAACGACAACGACAACGACAACGACAACGACAACAACAACAACAACAACAACAACAACAACAACCACAACCACAACCACAACGGCAACAACCACAACCACAACCACAACCAACAACCAACAACCAACAACCAACAACCAACAACCGACAACGACAACGACAACGACAACGACAACAACAACAACAACAACCAACAACCAACAACCAACAACCAAAAAACACAACAACCAAAAACCAAAAACCAAAAACCACAACAACCACAACAACCAAAAACCAAAAACCAAAAACCAAAAACCACAACAACAACAACAACAACTACTACTACTCCTCCTGCTGCTGCTGCTACTGCTACTGCTACTGCTACTACTGCTGCTGCTACTACTGCTACTACTGCTGCTACTGCTCTACTGCTACTGCTACTGCTACTGCTACTACTACTACTACTGCTGCTACTACTACTACTACTACGAATTACCAACTACAACTAATTACAACAACAGCAACAACAGCAACAACAGCAACAACGGCAGCAACAACAACAACAACAACAACAACAACAGCAACAACAGCAACAACGGCAGCAACAACAACAACAACAACAACAACAACAACAACATCAACAACAACAACAACAACAACAACAACAACAACAACAACAACAACAACATATCTCTAAGGGTAACATGACCATGACGACGCAATTAAGTATCAGCTGTATCCGCAAATCTACCAGGGGTGATGATCTACCATTGGCCCGAGGGGCTAGCGAAGTCAATGGTACAGTATCCTTTCGGAATCAAACATCCTTGGTTTTGACTTACAAGTGGTCGCACTAGCAGACCCTGCAGCCTATTGCATTATATATAGTAATCCTGCGCAAACCTTTGCTTTGTCGGGCTCCAAAACAATGGAAAACAATGGTGCAAATTCCAAGCTGCCGAAACTTTATCCGATGGAGCTCCGCTTGGCCCTGTGAATTCGTGCATGCGGCGTGTATCAACAAAAACACCAAAAAGGAGCCTTAAGTCAAACTGTGAAATGGGATGGCATAGTATGGTTTAGTTACTTCATTTGTGAAATTTTGTAATTAAAACCCCTTTGATTTTAGATGTCTACCGCTAAAACATCAAGAAATCATCAACCCTCTGCTGCCACGTCGCTCGGGTCAGGCGCCGCAAACGATGTTGTGGATCCTGCTGGCCAACCCATTGAACATCCCCATTGCTATGGTCCCAAAAAGGTGTACATAACGTGCAGTAACCTACTAAACCATGGTTCTTGGGGAGGTGTAATTTTTAGGGACAGGCAATAATGTGGTTCAATGAAACAAACGAGAAAGGTTCAGCAATCTGTATCCGCTACTGATCCCGATTATCGAACTATACTTTGGGCACCGGGGTTTTATTCATCCTAAGTTGACAACAGAGCCACAATAAAGCGACAAATAGCATGGACGATGCGCTCATCATCCAGGGAGTCTGCGCCAAATGAGACAAGAAATGTGCAGGAATGGGGCAATAGTGGTATGAAATCCAGTATTCTCCATCACCAGGCTAGATTCCTGGGAATGCAACCTTGCTCCTGCTTCAGCCAATTTTGGCAACGCAGGAATAGAGACAATTTTCGGGGCCAATAGGTAGGGGCCAATTCATGTCTCCTAGGTTACCCTAAGTAATGCTGCTGTAGTATCCTGCAGTTTTGACGCACTGAAACCCACCCCAATCGCCCAATCTCTAATATATATATATATTTATATAATATCATTCTATATATATATATAACCTTCCTGTCGCCCAAAAACGCAAAGAACAATGGGGATATTAGCCACAAACATGAGGACATGATGGTTGGTGTTCCAAGATATGCCAGGAGATAACCGCTAGGTCAGGTCACAAATGAACTATTATGACAAATGATCTGCTGACGGTCTATGGTCTAATTCTTTAAGTGCTAAAATTTCAGGAAGCAACCACATGCCACGGGAATGAGGGGGATGCTCAGGAAGCATACAGTAAGCAAAAATAAGATTATGGTCATTCTCAATCTGTTTCCGTGTTTTTTTCGATACCATTTACGTGCTGCCAGGTAATCAATCAGATATGGCAATGGAGAAAAAAACGCAAAAACGTTTTTGGGGTAGGAAAGCATATTGTGAACGAATGGGGTGGGGACGTCTTGGGGATGCAACCTTTTGAATGATGTGTGCTTCACCCATCAAGGGGGACGATGACCCTCAGAACTGCGGGCCGTCGAGCTCTACTGCCCACAGGGTTTGGGCACCAGGGGCCCTCATATCTCCAATGATGGTACTGAGTCTACTGGACTAGTGTAGATTTAGATAAAACCAAGGGTTCAAATAGGCACATAAAACCCATGGCATCCCCAGCAACACACCGCAATCTATCCCAATCTGCAACACACAACCCTCGCTATGAATTTCACCAATTCCCACACGGACGAAGCAGCTGCGCAGCTCCTCTGCGATTGACCTCGGACTGATGGTCCATAGTGCCATAGGGAATGGAATGAGTCAAGGTCTCAAGGAAGAACCAGGACTTTTCACCGGTGAGGGCAGTGGACTAGTCTTGGAACGACCTACTGCAATTGTCACCAACATGTACCATGTATGATCATGTATGCATATGTAGAGCTGTCTGCACATGGCTTCGGTTAGGGTGGGGGATCTTGTGTCAAATAATTGTTTGAGACGGGCCACTTGGTGGAATCAAAAAAGAAGAGGACCACGGAATGCATGGTTGTTTGTCCTTGAAGGCTTGAGGGTTTTGTGAGTCTAGTGATCCAGTGAAGACAAGTCATTGATGCATGTTTGCCCGAGTACCAATGAAGATCTTGCACAACATGCCGACATGTTTCGCGAACCATGTTGCTGCAAACTTCAATCTTAAGTTCGTTATTGATTTGATCATGTCCATTTTGATGGAAAATGATGGAAACACGCATAAAACCATAGAATATCATATATATTTAAATACGGCACCTATCAATTCTGATTAGCACTGTATGTGCAGTTGAGGTGGTTGTGGTATGTATCTTTTGCTGGGAGACATCATTCCGCCGGGCCCCCTCACGTGGCAAAGCATCGATAGTATCGGGCCCCATGTCTCATGAGCCAGTTCGACCCAAAGCATCTTGCGCAAAGGGTAAAGCTAAGTGGGTTTCCAGCCTGTTGGCCTTCCAAATGATGGAAATGAGTGGAAAATCCCAAACTCAACTGGTCCCAGACTATACATACACACACACACATATATATATATATATATATCTATCTATAATATGCTCTTTTTATATCCTTTTATCATGTGGTTGGGAAACTCTTAGCAGCTCCTTGGCTCCTCATGTTCCAAAGAAATATGCACCCAACTATAGCTCCAGCTCCTCCGGACAGTTCACCCTCCAAGTTCGATCCGGAAAGGATGGGAGAGGCGGGGCGTTCAGCCATGCGATGTCTTGCCACTGGGGGTGACTACCCAGTTTGCTTCGGTAACATGACATTCCATACCCAAATGACAACATCATCAACGGCCATTTCAGGCACCTAAGGTATTGTACCTTATGTGCAGTAAGCCATATTTTGGAGATATATCAGTATATCCCCTTACATAGCTCTTACATAGACCTTCTATTTGGTGTAGGTACCTCCAATTTGGGTTCATGAAATGGCCACTAATATCCACTAATATCACATCAATAACTTTAGATTTTACACATAGTTTGGTTATTATATTTGGCTCCGATTGCCACAAAATATGTTCAATCTTCTGTATCAGCTAGACTTGAGCACCCGATGGCGGCAAATGCCCCACCATGTATACCAGCTAAGCTAGCTCTTAGGCATCAGCTAAGAACTGATATGTATATAGAAAAAAATCAATAACAAAAACAAAAACAATAATAATGACAAATTAAAAAAGTAGTAATAATAACAATAACAAAAACAATAATAAAAATAATAATAATAATAAAATAATATATATATATATTTATTTATTGTAAATGTGTGTGTGTGAGTGTTGTCCTTGCAACCACATCAAAATAATTCTAATAACATACTAATAGTAAAGGTTCTACAATAAAAGCAAGACATGCAAAACATCTGTGAATGGCCCGTTTTGATCTACGGTAACTACATGTTGTAATATGTTGTAATCGCCTTTTCTATTCTATGATGTTCAGACTCATCTTTCCGATTTTAAGCTGCACTTTTTCTGAGTTTTCCACGCTCGACTCTGCCTTGACCGTGGCTCCCCATGGCGAGAGCCGTCTTGCGACCGGCACCAACAACCAACATCCAGGTTTGACAACCAACAACCAACTATCAGGATGTTTTAGGTGTTTTCGATGTTGCATCATGTTATATATATATATATATCCAACACTTTGATCTCAGCCTTGTGAATTTTCACCACAGTTCGAAGCTTTTGAACTGTTCATTGCTGTTCAAGATTTGGGTTTGTCTGAAATAGGAATAGGGCACTACAAAGCCCCAATAAAATCCCTTCGTCCATTGTGAAGCTTGCTGGCCAAAGAAATCTAATTTTGGCTAAATTAGTACATTTTACAGTTGATAGCACAAGATTAAAGTACTAAAGTATCTAACCAGTCCGGTTGACCAAGTGTCTATCATCAGTTTCCCATTGAACTTGCTAGAGAAACACGTTTCATCTGCCGCTCCTGGCGAAGTCGCGTCGAGGAACTTTACGTCGCGGCGGATCGGATGATGCTGGCTTTGACCAACCAAGTACCCATAGTCAAACAGTAGTGGGTCTAAACTATTGGGGGTAAACACAAAAAAAATAACATACCAATTGTTGTGGGTGCTTGAAGGCTCTAGGTCCATCTGCTTACCCAAAAGTCATCAAAGTCAAACACTTTGAAGCCGTTGGATGCCTTTGGCCGCTTCTCAGAAACTCCTAAGTTTTGCAACATCCAATCTTCTTGCACTTCTTGGACTGGCGTGACCCAGCTTATGTCGTCACTGTGGGTCCCGCCGGGAATCGCTGGACACCAAAGCGATTCCAAGCATCGAGGGATTCTTGGCAGACTGCTGCTCAACCGTGAGATAAAAAGCTATGGCTATAGCGATGAAAATGTGGAAATCTGGAGCCCAGTAGCTTCACTGAAAACGACCGTGCACTTGAATGCTTGTGGTACAAGAACAACTTTACATTTCACAAGGGGAAAACAATACACATATGCAGATATATGGAGATGACTGACCCATGGAGACTTGCGTTTCTTTCCGATGTTGGATTGCCATGTTGGGTCTGGCTTGAAGAACCCTCGCTGCCATGTCACCACTTCCGAGCTCTGAGTCAGATCAGCATTCCACGATCCAATGGTCCATGGGCACGGAGCCAGTGGTGAACTTCACTCTGAGCTAAACATCTCAGCTCAGCGTTGTGTTTTCTTGGGGATGGGCTGATGGAATCATTCAAAGATCTCAATATCATTCAATATCTACCAAACATTGGTACAATTGGCGGCGGCATGTGGCGGTTTGGCAAATGCATTTGAGCATCAACAATATTCAAAGCCTCTGAAAGAACTGGCCTTGGAAATAGGTTTGCTGAGACAACAAGGGCAATGGCGGAAGGTGGTTTTCGCCCCAAACTTGGTAGTTAGATGTAATTAGAGCTGCTATAGCCTCTTTGCGGTTCCATCTTCATGTGGCATGGGGTACGTTCTTCTCTGGGTCCGAACTTTTGCGGTGCCTGGAATGCCGTGCTCTCACCTGCCCTGAATAATTTCCAGCACCTTGGCTATGGCACAGTCTGGGGCGTGGACAAAGGCATGGGCCAACTATGGCTCCCTGTCATCTTAGGAACCAACACCCTGGTCCCTGGGATTCCCTGGGAGCAGACCTTCCTTTCTTTGGTCATTCTCAAAAACCTGTTCTCTGCGAAGGGTAAAGCCCAAGGACAGCTTGTGCCAATCATACGAGTCAATTCGGAGAATGGTGAGATGTGGATAGCTTGGCAATACCGCATCCCTTCTCCAACATCTCCAATTGAATCTGCCAAAGGCCCACGGCTCCCAACTGCAAGAGAATTGGGACAAAAGGTATAATTAGAAATCGAAACAATTCGATAATCATACATTTTTGGGCTGAAGCATATTGAAGCATGTTGAAGCCTCCCAGAATCCAACCAATGCTGAAATCATCTAAAAGATCTTTGTTGGCTTTGCATTCAACTACCGCTCACAAGCCTACAACGGCCGTAAGGACTTGCGAATCGAAACGCCCCCAGCCACCAAGTGACATTCATGGACACAACCACATGGGATGTGTTTCCCTCATCCTCAAAGGGCTTGATGTAATCACCTCCATGCCGCTGGGACGTCGTTGAAGGGGCAATGTTTAAAACCTCTCCTCACAGCGGATCAATCACCAGGGTTTTCCAGATCAAAATGAATCAATAACTAATTGTATATAAGTTATATATGTATATAAAATGATAATATGCATATAATTATTTACAGTATTATATTATATATATATATAATCCCCCCTACTCATAAGATCGATTGACATATATGAAATACCAGGTCTACAAGCAAGTTGGCGGAGTGTTAGATCATTCCATTGTGGGACCCAGTCATGGTGGTTGGAGTCATCACAGTTCCAAAGGCGCCGGGCCTAGGTAGCGTCGTCCCAGGCACACCTTTGGACCCGTCGAGCGGCCATTGATCAAAAACTCAAACCTCGCCGTCATGAAGGCCAGGGCAAAAACTGCATGTGTTTAACCTAGGAACTAAATCCATAATCTCTATTTTTTTTGGCTGCATACTATTATGCATAATATTGGCTAGGAGGTATCTTCTTGCAGGTTCAATGTGCTTCTGCTGCTCTTCGAGTTGTTGATCATATTGATGCAGTGCTACTCAAGCTTTGACAATGGACTATGGTTCGGCTGGGTCACCTTCGGTAATGAAAACATGTTAACAAACAATTAATGTAAATTCCAAAGGGTAGATCATGGGGGTGGTTTATGGCATTACTTGGTGGTTCACCCCAGGACCGGAAGTGGGTTAGTTCACCTAAGCTAATTACTGTATTATGCTAATTTAGTAGGGTGTTCGTAGAGGCAATGTCCGCAGAATTAATTGGGGTGAACTTAGAATTTAACCCACTTTTCACACTTTAACTCATCCTGAACTCATGCTGAACTCATGATGGATACTTCATCACCAAGCAGAACGGAACAAAGGGGGCAGCCGCCGTCAAGATCAGTACCTGGGGTTGGGCCTTAAATTTTGACTCATTCATCTGGCAAGGCGCTTGATTCCAGGACAATCTGGTCCTCTCGAAAGGGCCACAGAGCAATGTCCAGGCTCTGCTTCACCTGAGTTCTCCACGCGGGGAATGAACAGTTGGGCAGACTTCAGGGACAACCAAAAAACCTGGGAAATGTTGGGACAAAAGGTCCAATTCACCTGGACAATTTATGAAGGGAGTCGAACTCGATCAATTTCCAAAGGCAAAATCCATGGCAAAGGGATGAATTTCCAGTAGCTGTTCATCTCTTTATAACATCATAGACATGTCCAGTAGCTCAATCTGATGCATGTTAAAAAAAAATGCAGTAATCGGTAAACCCTATTCCACATCCAGGGTTTATACGACGCATGTCTGGTGAAAAATTGCGATTGCTTATTGCTGCGTTTGCCACCGAACTGTGATGTGGTGATATTAACTTTGTTTTTTTGCAAGGTAGTGCCCCCAATGATAAGATGTTATGAATTGTTTTATAATCCCCATCGACTATAGATATATTCCCCATGAATCCTTCCTATAGTCCTATAGGCAGCCTAACTATGAACCAACTTAGCTATCATTTGGGGGTGCACCACCTTGTAACTATCTTTACCCTCCGCTGAACCAACATAATTATAGACAAACACCATTTTAGTTTAGGAAAATCAACTACAAATGGGCCATTTAACTACTGGTATGTTTGTATCTTACCATGTCCCCGACGTCAAGTGGCGACTCCCATTGGGGTAGAACGACAGTTGCATATGACCATCCTGGCGGGCACAGCAAGTCATCTCCGGTCGGTTGGGATCATCATTCCTAGTAGGACAGAACATAGACAATAGACACATATATTTGTAAGGATATACATGTATCTATATATATATATATATATATGTGCGTGTGTGTCTATGCATATACACATAACATAACACACATATATATATATATATATATATGACCCAGGACGCCCAAGCCCCCCCATGGTCCCCTCCCCCCTATGGCCTGTGGTGGTGCTATGGTTCTTCTGGTCCCCCCCCCTGTTGCCTGTGGTGGTGGTATGTTGGTATGTTGGTATGTTGGTATGTTGGTACGTTGGTATGTTGGTATGTATGTTGGTATGTATGTATGTAGGTAGGTAGGTATGTATGCATCCATGCATGCATGCATGCATGTATGTATGTATGTATGTACGTGTGTACGTAGGTACGTAGGTACGTAGGTATGTAGGTATGTAGGTAGGTAGGTAGGTAGATAGGTATGTATGTATGTGTGTATGTGTGTATGTATGTATGTATGTATGTATGTATGTCTGTGTGTATGTATGTATGTATGTATGTATGTATGTATGTATGTATGTATGTATGTATGTATGTATGTATGTATGTATCTATGTATCTATGTATCTATGTATGTGTGTATGTATGTATGTATGTATGTATGTATGTATGTATGTATGTATGTATGTATGTATGTATGTATGTATGGTCCCGTGTCCCGTGTTCCCGAGAGCGTGAGCTTGGGGGACCATACCATTGGGGGGGGGGGGCAGGGATCCGGAGTCCGGACTCATATATACATTGACACACACACATACATTACATTACATAGCATACCATAACATACCATAACAAACAATAACATACCATAGCATACCATAAGATACCAGAACATACCATAACATACCATAACTTAATAACCTACAAACACATACCATAACATACCAAAACATAACACAACATTACATTACATTACAGTCCATTCCATTCCATTACATTACATTACATTACAGTCCATTCCATTCCATTCCATTGCATTGCATTACATTACATACATACATTAATACATACATACGTACATTAATACATACATACATTATATCATACATACATTCATACATACATACATTAATACATACTTTACATTAATACATCCATTACATTACATTTACATTACATTGCATTACATTACATTACTTTACATTTACATTTACATTTACATTACATACATTACATTGCATTACATTACATTACTTTACATTTAGATTTACATTAAAATTTACATTTACATTTACATTAAATACATTACATTACATTACATTACATTGCATTACATTACATTACAATACAATACATTACATTATATACATACTTACATACACACATTACATATATGTGTGTATATATGTATACATAATTTAATCTATGTATAATAGTAGAACAAATCCAATACTTTTGGAAGCACTAGCAGTCACTAGCCGGATGCTGGATACTGTATATATTCGCTGCAACTCAGCACCCATCATCCCAAACCAAATTGCAGCAGTTCCAGAATTGGATGAAGGGACCATTCATAGGGCTTCTACCCCATGTTCAATTGTTAAAAGCAGGGTTTCAAACGTAAATGCTCTCTTAAACCAACCCCGTGATGTACAACTGTTGGACTTCCTTGCAGAGCAGGTCGGACATCATTTATGTACCATAGGTGGACGGGGCTGAAATCACAGGCTCATGGCTCATGATGGGCAAAATTGGTAGTCCAAGTGAAGCACATCGCACCATTGTCAGTTCTTTTCATCACTTTTCCATATGCTACACTACCAAACCTGTTTGACGGCCAACAAGTACCACATTTCCCAATGCCTGGATGCCGAAAGTGGGTGACATGACGCAGGAGTCCTGGACGATAGACCCGGGGACCAGGCCGAGAATCAAAACCAGCTGCGAAACACACACACAAAGAATAATGTGTTGTTGGAATATGTCTTTCAAAAGGAAGCAACATTTATCAAGCAATGTCATGATTCGGTCAACATGTTACAACATTCTGATACTCGCGCAAAATATATCTGGAAGGCTGGAAGTCAGTTGAGGAAAGGGAAAATCATTCAACTTCGGTGTCCATTTGCCACTCCAAGCGCAGGAAAAATCCTGAACACCTACAGCAGTCGAATATAGATGCCGCATCTGAACCGTCCGTTAGAACCTGTAGCACCCTGCAGAACAGTAGTTTCTATCAGCAAACACTTCATGATCGATTGTAAAACTGGTTTCACCCCTCAACAATTTTCGACAAGAATGTCCAAATGGGTGATTCTCGATAATTTGACCAGACATATATCTACCATCATATATTCTGTGCCACTCCTGCTGGCTCAAAATCTCATAGATTCCTAGATACAGGGTCTAAAAATATCTAAATCCATTTCAGAACTTCAGAACCCAGTGAACTTGTTCAATCAACTTAAAGCTATGGTACGGTAGCCTCTGGTAATTTAAGATAGCTATGAAAAAATCACCATGTCTACTAGGTAAATGGTCTATAAATGAAATATTTTCAATAGCTATGTTAAATTACAAAAGGGTATGCAATCTAGGTAAATTACAATATTTCACTAACCTGAACTAAGGCCATTTGGGCTTGGGATGATTCATGATGATTCCCCTGACCATGATTTCAGTGAGGTCACGACGTGAGGTCACTATAATTTACCCAGATCATCACATTATATCCCATGATACTCCCATTGTGATGTAGGCCATATGTTGGTTAAATCATGGTAGTTAATGTACGCCGTAATGATGCTCCCATGATACATTATAGTCATGATATCATGATATCCCATTTGTTGGTTAAATCAAGTTAAATCATTATTTTCCCTATGGCCCTATGGTTTCTCCATTGTTAGCCATTCCTCTGCAGGCCGGGGGCGTCCTTGGGAAACGTGCAGAGTTCTCTCCAGGGCTCCGAGACCGTCCAATCAAAGCGGGATCCCGAGACCAGCGCGCGAGCTGCGTCTGAGCCTTGGGAAACACCGGAGCCGGGGCACCCCTGGACTTGTTATAGTACCTATATTTAATTATATTTATATTCATATATTGCGTGCGTTAGAGAAGAGAAAATTCACTCACACACATACATACATATATATATATACATAGATTTATACAGTTAAAATATGGTAACAAAAATATACATATATAGTTCCATATAGTTTATAAAACATCCATCTGACAATGTGACATCATCCAACTATATGACTAGCTTTAACGATATTTCCACCATGATCCAAGCAAGCTGTGTTTACCATCTTACCGCTCAACGAGGGAGCCTTCTACTGCAAGTACTGGCTTGGAAAATGGAGTCTGGACTTGACGCTGTCACGCTTGGGTCCCACTAACCAGTTTGAGTGTATACAAAAAAAAAACACTAAATTTCCGGGCAAGTGAAGGCCCAGTAAATTGCCACTTGGGTCGATGATTCTCCTTACTAACCATCATTCTGGTGACATCGCAACTAATTTACGCAAAGAATTCCCATTGTATCGCATCATATCGCATTATATCACCATCTTGGTCTTGGCCCTGCCCGGTTCATCCGACCGCTGCCTTCTTCCACCAACTGCAACTCGATGGATGCGGGCAATGCAAAATCTGCATCGCTCAAATCTGGAAGGCCCTGGGCATGGTGCGGCTGGTTCCCCAAGTAATCAAGTATTTTATGTATATAAAAGTAATTACTGTATAAATAAATGAATATATATATATATTAATATATATATAATAATATATATATATATTATAATATATATATATTATAATATATATATTATAATATATATATATATATACATATTATAATATATATATATATATACATTATTATTATATATATATATATATATTATTAAATATATATATATATATACATATACACATATACATCGGTTATGGACTGTTCAGGGTCAAAATTTAAGCCCCAGGGAACCGCAGATGTTTTAGCCTATGACAATTGTTATAGTATTAGCCATCTAATTGTTGGATATTATTGCGTTGCCCAATTTTGACCCATACCCATTTATAAACATAGCATATATATATATATATATTACAGTATATGTGTGTGTGTATGTGTGTGTACAGTACTCTCTGGTAAACTAACATAGTTAGAGTGAAAATAACCCAGTTATATATATAGATTATTTGCATTGACTTACCTGTAAAGATCGTGATTTTCCATAGTTGTTGTGTTGGATTACTGGAGGGTATAAGGTTTCGAACCTGAGAATTACCATGTTTCATGAGAGAAAATAAGAAGACATCAGTAATGACCTTGTTCAAGATCGAATACCCTCTAACAGTGGACAATTCAGCATGTATAGATTATTTTCTACGGCCCCGGCAGGGTTCCCAATGATTAGCCATTGCCAAGTGCAGCTGCCGAGGGGTTGCCCAAGGATGTGCAAACTCCATCGGACAGGGAGACAATCCCAATAGAAAAGCAGATTACTAGTTATAGGCATCCTCATTCATGCACCCCCAAGAAACAAAACATGTTAAACCACCACTCAAAGGTTCACCCACAAAACATCACCTGCCATCAACCCATGACTACCCACCTGCAGCATTGGTGCCGCCACCGGTCGGACCATGGGCGAAGGGGTCGGTGTGCGACCCCATCCTGGCTGCCCCTTCAACGCAAACATACCCTCGAACTCCCCAACCCATGCACAGATCCAAGACTAAACCAGGATTCTGTGGTGGTAGTTGTGCGGTTGTGATGGGTCGCTACCTGTAAGCTCATTTATTGCCGTTTTCGCTATACATGAATTTCAGATAAATTTGGACACTTGTCATCCCACCTCCCACCTGACTATCACATGGCCTAGGGAAACCACCATTTTCGCATAGGAAAACATTCCGTTTGTGGCCTGACACCCCAAATCTCAGCCAACTCCAGGCCCCTAGGTCCAACCACAACTGGGGTTGGGCGGCCTTATGGATTGATGGTTTATGTTGTTTATAGCACCCATAAACGCCACGTGGGCCATGAAAGCACCTGGAACGATAGCTGGAGATACCACCGGAGTGCCCTGCCATTGTGAAGAGCTGACGAGCGGTACATGGAGCACATCATCACTATAGTTCACTTTCCAGTGGGTAACATGGGCATTATGAATGTCCTTTAAGTAGGGTTCATCACCTGTGTGTGTGCGTGTGTACATTTACACATGGATCAATAATCTGAAGTTTATTGACCAGCCACTAAGTGGAATAATCCTCCAAGTAGACAGCGTAGGCAGATCCTCTCAGTAACTCAGTGGATAGCTGGCTCAGCCCACTTGAAATTTAAGATGGGCCACTCCAATGGTTGCATGACACCCGCATGGTCTTTCCTCACCTGCCAGGTGAGGGTCATTGGATTTTATCATAGACTTTCCCACATCTTCTCCTCTTCTCCTCTTCTCCTCCTCGTCCTCAGCCACAAGCTCCAGAGATCAGTGGGCACTGCCGGACCTCAACCGTGAGCACCAGATCTCAGCGCACTGCAACTGCGAAAGTCAGATCTCAGTGGGCACTGCCGGACTTGAGCCAGACGCCAGAGAGAATGTCAGATAGAGTGCCAGAAAGAATGTCAGAATAGATGTCAAATTTGAATGCCAGAAAGAATGTCAGAGAGAATGTCAGAACAGCTGCCAGAAAGAATTCCAGAATGAATGCCTGAAAAGATGTCAGATAGAATGTCAGAATAGATGCCAGATAGAATGTTAGAAATAATGTCAAAGTATATGCCGGAAAGTATGTCGGAATAGATGCCAGATAGAATAGAATGCCAAATAGAATGTCAGAAAAAAATGGAATATACTTCCAGATGGTATGTGAGAAACTATGACAGAATAGTGTGATCACTGGGATCACTCGAAGAAAACCATGATTTATCTTTCCGATTCCAGCCGGCCATGGACATTGGTGAAATTTCATGAATCTTGTTAACGATCTCCCGAATCGGGTGAGCTGAGAGGGTCTTTCAGGAACAAACACGCCAGCATCAGGAAATATGTTTGACCTGTTTCAAAATGTGTGTCATACTGCCACATGGAATTGGGAAAACAAACATGTGTGTGCGTTGAGTTTCACAAAACCATGTATATACATGTAGTTGGTGTGTAGTACCCTTTGGCGTCTGTACGCATGTCTTCCATCATTGACCATCATTGACCATCATTATAATAATAATCATCATCATCACCATCACCATCACGATCATCAGCAAAGTCATCAAATGAATTCCCTCTGATTACATATTAATTACATATATATATATATATATATCGAACTTAAAGAAATAACATAAAATAAATAATAATAGTCTCAAAATCATCAGCTAATCGTCATTGTATCCCCATATCTCTGGGTAAATTATAATAATTCACTAACCTAAATAGTTCGGCCATTTGGGGATGATTTCCCTTAGTAACCATGATTCCAGTGAGGTCGCAGTGAGGTCCTTATAATTTACACAGATATGCCGTCAAAACGGCCGCCTTCGGCGAGGCATAGGCCCGGCGGGGCACGGCGGAACGGGGCTCTGGCACGGCGGAGGGCACAAACCTGGGAACGCTCTCCAAGTCAAATCGATCAAAACAGGGGCGTCACCAAGGGTGTATGGGGGTTTAAGCATGGAAAAACATGAGGTATCACCTATAAAATCCATTCAAATCTTGTAAATCTATGAATAATGGAAAGACATGAAAACTGAGATGATCATTCCAAAGTGGGGGACAGCTGTCGAAACCACCCACCCTAAACTACATAATTTCGGCAAGAATGAGAGTATATCATTCATAGTGTATCCCAATTTGATGCAATTTTCATTCAAAATTGAGGTGTTCACCCACTAGATTATTCATGATTATTCTATATCCGATTCTCAGACCATCCCGTGTCAAACTGTGGCATATTGAATGGCATCAGCAGCTTTCCTGGTAGGTAAAAGCCAATTACGACTGACTCGTTTGGAGAAACCCAAGCGACTTCAGAGCCTGCATCCCATCATATCCCTTTCCGGAGACAACCAGTTGCTTGAGATCAAACAAGGAAGAAATAAGAACAAGTTGCCTCAACTTGCCTCATCATCGTTATAATATCGTTATAATCCCATTCCCATCCATCCCCCCGGTTTATATGAAACACCCAAGCAAAAAGCCATGGTGGATACAGGAGACCATACATGGCACCAAGCCACTCTGAGGCATTGGGATTGAACTCGGTTGCCTGGGGATTGAAGTTCCAGGCCTTGCGACGTCACGCCGTGAGCCCATGAATTCGTTCGATCTACTGTATATCTACCGTAAAACTAACAGTTTATATGGGCCCAACATGGCCCCAATTTGCAACCGAAGTGTTAGGGTGAACAACAAGTTCTGTATTACAGTCCAATTATCCATAGTTCTCCTGCATTTCTCTTGGTTACTCTTCAAGCCTCGGTGTTTTACGTGGTGAGTTTAGTACCCGAAACGTGGCTTTGCTGGTACCCGGGTACCTCTGAATCATCGACTCCAGGGGCTGCTGGAGTTGAGTTTCACACACTTGTGGTTGCAAGTTGCGAATGGACATTTTGCATGAAATCCCTTTATGGTAACACATGGTAAAACCAGGGTCGAACCGAGAAAAACAAAAACATCCATGATTTTACCTAGTTAATTTCAGTAGCAACATATATATATATATATATATATATATTAGCAACCATTCATGAAAACAACAAATCAGAAATAAGCGTATTTTGGATAACTATCATATGGTTTGGAAGCTCTTAATCGCTCCTTCATTCTCATTTGCTCAAAATGCAGTAGGGAATACAATGTGGAGCCCCCCAGTCATATTGTTGGTTTATAAACACCATTAATACTATATGTAGTTGTATACGTAAATAATTAGACCATAGTTGTTGGAATTACATTATACCCAATTATAATGAATTCCAACAACTATGGTCCCATTATAATGAATTATACCCAATGATAATGTAATAACCTGGATAATGAATCAATAACCAAATTGGTTATCTAGGACTAGGACGCCCTATGGATACCCCTAGCTCACCGCTCCCTCACCTGACTCATCTCGGTGACATCAATGGCCACCCATTGGCCGTAGCCAACATCTGCCCGGGTAACGAGACAGGTAACGAGGGGATCAAAGCGCGGTGACTGTCCCAAGTAACAAGGGCTTATTAGGGGCTTGTTCACCAGCAATAACAACATATTGCAGGCTTACTAATTATGTAGTGTTGGATGGTAACTTTTGGTGGAAGCATGTGGAAGCTCATGAAATCCCTAAGATATAATGACATAATTACTGAAATCTACTTGGATTATAGTAGGATAATGCAGTGGACAATTGATGATACTTGATACTTGGGGATTTATATTTAAACAGCAAGGATGGGGGATTGATGAATAGCCAAAAACGAGTAGAGGTTAAAATGTTGCATAAGACCAACAGAATCACAGATTGAAATCTATATGTGGTAGTAAGATTAGTAAGCCATTATTTTTTTGGTGGCGCACCTAGTAAGTTAAAAAACGCTACCTCGAATGCCACCAAGAAATGGTATATAGCCTTTCACTGTGCAAACATTTGGATGGAAAGAGTCTTCAAATCACAAAAAACCAAAATGGGTGATCTCGAATCTCAAAATTGGAAAACCCAAAATCGCACAGATCCACTGCTTTCTCATCATAATCATCATATCCAGTATCATTTAATAATTTAATACAATGTAATGCATTCATATGTGCATATATATATATATGTATATGTGTATATAATTTCATTGTGTTATTTCACACCAGTAGACCCTTGGAGAGTTAATGAAGCTGGAAACACCCAAGAATGAAACTCCAATGAGGGACAGTTTATGGAACCAAATTCTGATAAACTTGGAGATGGTTGGATATTGGATGTGTCGCATTCATTGCTAAAGATTGCGACCCAAACCCTTCAGACTTGTAGCCTGTCCATCGTTCGGATCGATCTGAACAAACGGGCTATGTTTTACCAGTCATGATGAAGGCGCTGAAGGATACAAACTCAATTACGTCTATTACATTTGCATTATATATTATACTATCATCTGGTGTATTCACAATTGCTTACACCCAAATTACCTTGGTGGATTCCAGGTGCTTGCATGGAGAAAAAAGAAACTGACTAGACACATTCTCAGGGATGAAAACTGTTACTCGATGAGACAAGTAATCTTTTTGCTTTAGAAGGAACCGTGCCGCCCCCACATGCCCCTTTCTTCAGAAGACCTGGACGACCTAGAATTAGCTGGTGATTTCTTATAAATATTTCTTTAGGATTCTCTTGGAACAAAAATCGACGAACACCCTGCACCAATAGCAGCAACAGCAGCTCTTGCTAAAGCCAAAAAGTGAATATTTTAGATGTTCGCCTTGACCATGCCACGTTCCAGTGGCCACCGCTAGAGTTTTATTCGCTGTTTGCAGATTACCAGCCGGTGTGGCTATCGCATTCTGTTGCACCACATCTCGTTTGCGTGTCAATTAATTTGGTGCTGTTACTGCTGTTCGTTGGTTATCCCGGTATCCCTCGTTTCATGTTGCCTATAGATCCTATAGCCTATAGTGTTTAAATTTCACGTGGGGGTGCCAAACGGGCAGCCGTCAAGGGAAGATTAGCAAATAGAAAATCACACCTTTTAATATCTTTTAATAATGTGTTTGGAAAACTCTTAGTACCTCCTTGGCTCCCCACTTCGAATGGGTATAGACGGTATAGATGGCACCATGGACTACGCATGTGCTCCTTGGCCGCCTTGGCCCCCGCCATCTCATCCTTCGTCCCTCACCTGGCATTGGCCCCCATTCGTTGTCGTTCCAATCTGGAGGAGCATCAAAATACACAGGTCCTTCTGGAACCGGACGCTCCCAGTTGCTTACCTCGGCCACAACCCTGGCTAGCCCACACGATCAGTGTCTCAATGCGGCAGTTTGATGTACTCGGTTCATGGTGTGAACTAAGACGCGGTTTATTAATTAGCCAACTACCAAATGGTCTTCCAACACTAGTTGCTTCACCGAAAAAATGGTTTCAGCCTCCTACAGAACCCATTTTGCCGGATCATGATGATCATCACGTCCGAGAGTTGCACTTGAGTCACTTGATGATCCACCAATATAAAAACCGTATGCAAATGCAAGTTCGGATCCATAGAGAACTTGGGAAGCAACGTTACCCCGTTCCGAACTGTTCAAGGGGCTCGTCCATCTTCCGCCTCCCAGGTCAAGAACTCCTGGTTGCTCTCCTGGAACCAATGAATCCCGTCCCCGCAATTCGAGACACCAAAGAAACCAGATTTTAATAACGGATTTACACATGTTTGGGACCCTCTGGGGGGCCATTAGGAGGTGTTTAATATTGGGGCATGAGATTATATAGATATAGATAGATAGATATATATATATATGTGTGTGTGTACAATATATAGTGGTGTTTGGTGAACTAAACGCCTTGCAGTGTCATATGCAAGGCTCCTATGAAGAATATTGAATAATCCTTTCAAATAATTCTCGGAATCGTCTTGAATGAAAGAGTCAAAATGCCTGGCAAGGGTTGGATGGAATTGGATGGATGGAATGATGCGAAAAGCAGTTTAACTACCCAATGAATACAACAAAATGACATCGCGCGGATTTACCTACAAGTTCGGAATGCAGCCAAATTGATCTGCTCTTCTCCAGGAACAAGTATAGACATATAAATATATATACATATATATGCTTCTCCAACTTCGCAGGCCCTTTCTCATAAATAACCCTACTTCTGGTTAATTACCTGCCAGCATCCAGCAACTACTAGGCTTAAATTCCCCTTCGCCAATTAAGGGTATTGAAATGACTAGAGATTGCTCGAACATTTCCCTGGGAACAGCCAATAGTCACTACTTAGGGTGAAACAACTACTTATAGCATCTTATACAGTAGCCGCATTCAATATGTCGTTTTTTTCATACCCCAAAATTTGACGAGGTATCATGATGATAAACACTCCATGGGTTGCACTTTTAAGATTGATTGCCCAATTAAGTTGTCCTCTCAAATATGGCACCCAATTTATTGATGAGAAATATCAAAGAAACATCACAAGTCAATTCCATCCACACAAAATACAGTACATGGTCCCCACTACAACATTATCATCGTCGTCATCGTCGTCCTCCTCCTCCTCATCAAGTTTTCCTTTTACAATGGCCATTGGACCCTTCGCTTCTCACCAGGGCCGCCAAAGGTGTGGTGTCTCCTCAGGCACCAGTGTGCCATTCCCACAACGCCACTGCTGCCACTTGTCAAGGGAGATTCTAAAGCGTTTGTCCTTGGAAAATGAAACGCGAAATGGATCTACATGGGTAAAACCTTGCCTTGCATTAAAACAAACACAACCTAGGAAAACAAAAAGGGACAAGTGGCAAATCAAAAAAAATGAAAAAAAACAACAGAAACACAAGCAAGAGCTGTCACAAGAGGCATTGACATTAATTGAAACAAAACAACATGTTTTCGATCTGTTTCAATCCATTCTCTGAGTTCTCCCACGCCTCCCCTGGCTCCAACAAGGTCGCGACTGGCACCCCAACTTTCTGCAGATTCGCGGTGAAGGCCAACCGTGGCGGCGCACCTACAGTGCATCGCTGGTGTTTGAACCATGCTCCGCCATAGTTATGCAGCCCAGTTTACACAGCCCAGTATGCCCAGTTATGTATATGATATTCTATGATTAACATGTCAGTGTTCCATGGTTTTCGCCTGTTTTCCTTGCCGTTTTCACATTCTTCACCAAACCCAATGGGTTGATTAAAGTTGTGTTCGCTGGAAGGCTACAGTTCATGTGTATCCATTTCAACCCCAACACCATGGCTACCTATTTCACCTGCAAACAAATGGAAAAACAAGTG